CTTAGTTCTTTGGTTTGTAAATTGCTTGAAGATAGAAACTCCTTTTCAGCCTACTTCCCATATGGTTTCACCCAGTGAGCTTTCAAAAATGCTAACTTACCCTTCCCATTAACAGAACATGTCTTTACTGTGTGTCTGCCACATGCAAGGCTTGTTTTGATGCTGCTGGGAATATAAATATATGTAAGATGTACTCTCTTTCCATTAGGATCTCATAGTCTTTGAGGAACTTGAAAAGACAGTGCACATGGAAAAAAATCAGTATTGTCAAGGTATGGTAGGAACCAAATGAATGCTTCGTTCAACCTCAGGAGCCTGGGAGAAGTCATTGAATGCTAGAAATAGCAGGGACTATGTTTGGGGTAAACAGCATGCACAAAAGTACAAAAAAGGGAGAGTTTTAGGGGACACTGAGGAAAAATAAATAGTAATAATGAAGGAAATTAAATTACTAAATAATTTATATCCTTTGCTGATTTCCAAAAGAATTCTGAGGTGACTTCAATAAAAAATAACAAAACACAGCACTATCCCTGGCTGGTGTGTGGAGAAAATAGAGCATTGGCTCATGCACAGAAGGGTCACAGGTTCGATTCCTGGTCAAGGGCATATACTTGGGTTTGGGCACATGCAGGAGGCCACCAATCGATGTGTCTCTCTCACATTGATGTTCCTCTCTCTCTTTTCCTCTCCCCACCTTTCCACTCTCTCTAAAAAAACCAATGGGAAAATATCCTTGGGTGAGGATTAACAAACAAACAAAAACATAGACCATCATAAAAAGAAGAAAAGGCAATAGAAAGATGGAGGTAGTGTACCAAAACCCAAAGCCAAGGATGTTGTCAGGTGGGCATAAAATTCAGTTTTGACCTTCTTGACAGTCAAGACAAAATGGATAGGTGAGTGCAACATTTTATTCGTATTAAACTCTCAGCAGGATAGCTGTTAAACAACAGACTCAGAATAACATGATGCTCAGTAAGTTCCATGGTAGTTTTTTAAAGAAGACAGAGTCATCTTCCTAGGACACTTTTATTATTCTTTAATGGACAGCGAAAGCACACTTTTTGGTAGGTGGAGACGTTAGAGAATTGAATGGTTAGTGTTTGTAGATTTTCCCTTTTCTAATATTTATTTTAAGCTGGTCTCTGTCAGGAGAGCAGGCAAGTTGGGGGAATTGTAGAATCCTTTGTCAAGTGTGTTTGGTAGTAAGGTTAATATAGTGTTCTAAATTGGGAAGAATGTGACATGGTGTGGTCCTTTCCACCTGCAGGTAGGCCTAGATTTTCCTTACGAAGTGGTTGAGATCTGGTCAGCCATTTAAACTAGTACCAATTCGAAGTTCTAGAGTTTTGCACCGTGATGCCTGGAGAACAAAGCATTTATCTTTAAATAGTTGAATGCCAGTCATGGTCAAGAAGAGTTAACTTATCTGTGGTTGGAAGACAAATTTTTGGTAAGTCTTATGTTAGATGAAAAAGTTGGACTCTAAGTTATTAAGGTCGGATTAGTTAAGCCATATTACTTTGTTTCAGAATTTTAATTTTATAGCCATGTTTGTTCTTTTAATTTTTCCTAATTTCATTAGTTTCTTTTGAGTTTATTCTAGCTACCATAAAACAATCTTGGCCTTTAAAGGAAACATATGTAAAACGGATAACCTGATTCTCAGACTCAGGTGGTTCTTAACAGACTTCATCCTCTTTATTTCAGAACTAGAGGCCTGGTGCACGAAATTCATGCATGGTCCCCTAGGGCTTGCTGGCGATCAGGGCCGATCAGGGCCTTCTGGCTGCCAGCCAGGGCCTTCCTTCTGGCTGCCGGCCAAGGCCTCCCTTCCCTGGCTGCAAGCTGCCAGCCAGGGCCTTCCTTCATTCTGCGCCGCCCCCTGGTGGTCAGCACATGTCATAGCGAGTGATAGAACTCCTGGTCTCCTGGTCAAACTCCTGTGGGGACACTTTGCATATTAGCCTTTTATATATATATAGATTAATTTAGAATATTAGAAAATGGTAATTGATAATTGGCAGGAGTACCATTCCTCCCACCCTCTCCCCAGTTTTCTTTATGCTTCAATTGAATTATAAAAGACTAGCGGCCTGGTGCACGAAATTCTTCAAGAGTAGGCTTCGGTGCAGCGTTGGTGGTATAGTGGTGAGCATAGCTGCCTTCCAAGAGTAGGCCTTCCTCCCCCCTGCTGCCCGCACAGGCTATCCTCTGGCATGCAGGACCTGGGCTTGCTTCCCTCCGGCTGTCAGCAGGCACTTGGGACCCAGGCTGGCTTCCCTCCGGCCGCCTGCAGGCACCCAGGACCTGGGCTTCCCTCCGGCACCGGCTTCGTCTGGAAGGATGTCTGGTCTAATTAGCATATTACCCTTTTATTATTATAAATGATAGGGACATTACCTCTTTTGGTTTTACTTTCTAAGCCATATTCAGCTTCCCACAAATTTCTACATTCAAATATAGGTATCAGAATAATCACTTGTGTAATGGAGATTTAGTGAAATGTGATGTGTCTGTTAAAACCAGCCCATGTGATTGGTAATGGCTACATGGAATCCTGGAGCCAAGACTGTAGTCAGTTCAAGGGAGAGGCCATGATTGATTAGTGATGTCTGCTTAGGAGAAGGATTGGAGTGATGGTATCTGTGCAGTGTCCTTATGGATTGTGATTCCTTAAGGATATGAAAAAAAGTGTCGTAATCACTTATCTCTCTGTCTATCACAACTGGTACAGGTTAGGTAGGTACTCAAAATATTGGATAATTAAATTAATCTTTAGTTACTGATATTTATTGAGAAAACTTGCCAGGAAATTGTAGAAGTCTGTAGAAATTGAAAGAAAATGTTGTGATGCATTCCTGTTTGGCTGGGTAGTAACAAGACATTATCAGGGTACTGAGGAGAATTGGATAGCATATACCGCAGATAAGTTGCAATTTAGGAGATGAAATGATTTGTTATAATTTCAGATTTTAGACTTGGAATATATCCATTTCAGGGGGGAAAATAATGTATTCACTTCTGTGTGATATATTTCCTACTGTTTATGTACTCATAATCACTAAATTAAAAAAAGATTTCTTGGCATACATGTTGTGATTTTAGAACTGGAGTTAAGTTACCACCATTCTGTAGAGGAGGAAAGAAGACTGAGAAAGTATGACTTCCCCAAGTTACACAGCAAGTTAGTGCTGGAGTTAGGATTAGATCCCAGGTTCTCGTCTTTCCAACATTGTCCTTAATAACAAGAAAGACTACTTTGAGCCAGAAAAATGGGAGTAAAAGATGGTATATAGTAGTAAAATGTATATTATAGGGTTCTATAAAGTTGAATAATAATAAATGTACATCTGAAAAAAGTAATAAAATCTATTTTAATATTTAAGGAAATGGTAACTTTATATAAAATTTAACATTTTATTATAATAAAATATTTGTAGTTTGAAAAGATTGAGAGATTTAGGGTAATTAAACAGGAATCTTTAGTATTTGATCTACATATGAAAATTAATAAGATATAGGGACTAGCAAGAGGTTCACTTTAGATAACACATTCTTTAGAGAATTTAGTTTATGCAAGGCCTGAGCTGGTAGCTTGCTTCCAGCGCCTCCAAGCTTACCGAGCACTACCTTCTCCATGGGTGATGTGGGAAAACCTAGTGCTGCGTATCTCCATGTTTGGCTTTAGGACTCCAAGGCTGAAATTAAGGGTGATTTTTATTACTTACTCAATTTTCAGGTGAACTAAAAATCTTTTGATCCTGAATGGCTTTCTTTGAGGCTGTGATTCCCTGTAAAGAATTAGGATTAGGGAGTGAGGCAAAAATGTTTGCCTTTAACAGGATTCTAGATACCTGATAAATAATTATTTGGGGGGAGGATACAGAAAAAACTTTACTGACATTGATAGAATTATTACCATGTGCCAGGCAATGTGCCACACACTTTATATTAATTATCTCATTTAACCCCAGGTAGTACATATTTATATTTTTTTCAAACAAGAAACAGACTTGGAGAACTTTGAAGTTGCCTAAAGACCTTTTATATGCTAGGTTTTTCTCAGGACCTTCTCTCTCTTGTCAAGTCAGACTAGCTCTGTTGGCTAATTTATCGACAAACTGTTGAAGTTCACTGCTTTTGAGAAATAAGCTGCTTTTAAAGGCTGCTTGCTGTATATTTTGATTAGTGCTTTACCATATCCACTAGGAGAAATTAACATTAGTAGCTTGTCTGTGGAAGCCTGGAATAAGGATGGGGAAGGGAGTAGAAGGAAGGCTTTGTTTTCTGAGGCCTGTTGAAGACTCCTGGTGGCTCCTTTCCCCAGCTTTTTTTCTCAGTTCTCTGAGGATTTTTACAGTAAAAGATGAAAGTGGTTAGAGCAAAGTGACTTTCTCTGCCCATAAACTGCTGTCTTTCAGTGGAGGGTTAAGCACCAGTAGACAATTCTTGGATAGTCAGGAACAGGTAGGTTGCAGACGCCGCAGCTTGGGTGATGGGATGTCTGAATGAAAATTATGTCTGGAGAGCTTGCAGAGCCCTGATGAACACGTGGATAATCCCAGTTTTCCACTGGTGGAGAAAGGCAGGTAAGAAGCTGAGATGCTTGATTTGTGGCTTCTACAAATTGTTCTCAAGGGCCCTCTTTTTAACTGTACACTGATTTGAGAGTTACAGCTCCCAGTTCGATTGCTGTGTCTTTAGATACGTTACTTCCTTTCTCTAATGCTACTTTCCTTACTAGAGTGGGGTTTGTCCTTGCTGGTATGGCCCAGATTAGATCTTCCTTAGAACACTTAGAAGTCCCCTATTCTAGATTTTTTAAAACAATTTTTTTAATTGATTTCAGAGTGAAAGAGATGGAGAGATAGAAACATCAATGATAAGAGAAAATCATTGATTGGCTGCCTCCTGCATGCCCACTCCTGAGGATTGAACCTATAACCTGGACATGTGCTTGGACAGGGAATTGAACTGTGACCTCCTGGTTCATAGGTCAATGCTCAACCATTGAGCTACTCGCCAGCCAGGCCCCTATTTTATATTCTTGCACCTCTATGGACAAAGAAACCTGTCTAAACCTTAACGTCTTTTGGCTGCAAATGGCCTTAGCAAGTACTTTTTAAAAAAATATTGATTTTGAGAGAGAGAAACGTTGATTTATTGTTCCACTAATTTATACATTCATTGATTGCTTCTTTTATGTGCCTTGATCAGAGTTCAAACCCACATCCTTGGCATATCCGGAGGACGCCCTAATCAACTGAGCTACCTGGCCAGGGCCAGCAAATACTTTTGACTTGTCTTTTCTTCTGGTGAGTTAGTTTGATCTGATAAGATGCTTCTTTAACTTGAGAGTAGCCTCCCCTCTTCTCTCTTGAAGTTCTTTATTTCATACCTCTTCTAAATTTCCAGATAGCAGTTATTTTTCCATACCTAATTTTCTCCCAGAGGCAATTAGATTTTTTTAAAATTCTCACCCAAGGATATTTTTTATTATTATAGAAAGAAAGGAAGAGAAAGGGAGAAAGAAAAATCAATGTGAGAAACATTGATTGGTTGCCTCCCGTATGCGCCTCGACTGGGTATTGAACCCACAACCTGGGTATGTGCCCTGACTGGGAATTGAATTCAAGACTCTTCAGTGCACAGGAAGACGCATCCCACCAGCCAGGATCGCAATTACATTTTGATGCAAGTCACCCTCTACTTAGTAATAGAAGTACTAGTAACCATAATTAATTCATGCAACAAATGTTTGCGTGTCAACTATATGTCAGTCACCGAGGTTACAACAGTGAACAAGACGGCAGAAATGACCATCCTTATGACATTGATGTTCTAGTAACACCATGTTCTGGTAATACTGTAACATTGATGTACTAGATCAGTGGTTCTCAACCTTGGCTGCACATTAGAATCACCTGGGAATCTTTTTAAAATCCTGATTTCTGGGCCTCATCCTCCAGAAATTCTGTTTCTTTGTTATGGGGTGTTACATTAGTAATAAAGAAATAGAATTTCTGGAGAATGAGGCCCAGAAATCAGGATTTTAAAAAGATTCCCAGGTGATTCTAATGTGCAGCCAAGGTTGAGAACCACTGTTCTAGATGTTGATGATAGTGATGATGATTATGATAGATTAATGTATTGAGCATTTACTTTGTGCCAGGCATTGTTCAAAGGATTTACATTTATTAACTTACTGAAGCAACAGAGCACTCCACTGAGATGGTTTTCTTATTATCCCCAAGAAACACAGAGGTTAAGTGTATTGCAAATTCATATTTGAAATGTAAACCCCAATAATTTTATTTTCTATTAAGTTTGTAATTAGTATCAACAAATAAATTCTGAGTAGTAAATACATTGTATATCAAATTTAAAAAACAAAGCATTATATTTAATAGTTTTTTTTTTTTTTTTGCAGTTGTGGAAAGGTGGATTATAGAAACACATCAATTGGTTCCAACCATGGCTGGGATTGGGCCTACAACTGAGGGCTGACACTCTATTCATTGAACCAAACTGCCCAGGGCTATTCTTCTTTTTGCCATACAAGTCTTCCGCATAGTCTTGTATTCTGTGAAGGATGGTTAAAGATGCTACTATTTTAATTTTTCTGTCTTAAAAGCCGTATTTTCAGCCTTTAACATTTATTCCAATTGGAGACCTTACCCAGTGTTTGATCAGATATATTTTTGTATGTACAAGGGAATCCTAGCCCAAATGAAGAAATATTTGATGAATTCTTTGTGATGACATTCCCAGTATAGGCCCTTATGGCGAGTTAGTGTCAACCTGGAATTAATATTTGATTTATGGTTTTATAACTAATTTTTGAACCAATAAAGTCATGAACTGATTGATGATAGGGTTATGTTTGAAGAAATGTGCCTTTAGGTGATTTCGTTGTTGTGTGAACATCACAGTGTGCTTACGTAAGGCTAGATGGTCCAGCCTACTGAACAGCTAGGCCATATGGTGTAACCTGTTGCTCCTAGGCTACAAGCTGGTGCAGCATGTTACTGTACAAAACAACGCGGTACTAAATAAAATACAAGAAAAATGATGCAATCAAGATATGTGTGAGGCTGCTGCTGAAGTAACATGGCATCCTGTTTTAGAGCAGACTTTTTTTATTTTATAAAATTCCATTTTATTTACCTTTCAGTAAGTTTTAAATCCTTGAGGGGAACTTCACCAGTCTCTTACTCTCTAAGTGTGCTTGGAAAGAATATTCAAATTGTTGTTGTGTTGTTTTAACTTTAGCTTGAACTTGAAACTGAAATCAAATTTTGGGGATCTTCTGCGTGGTTTCAACTTGATTTGTGAGGTTGGTCAATCTGGGTATATGGAAGAAAAAAGTATTAAGTGAATTTCTCAAGGGTGAATGGAAAGATTTGGAAGTATTGTTTTTGAAGGGTTGTGATAATCCATGTGGATTTTTCAGAGTTTTGCTTTCTTGCATTAAAATATTTACCTTGAAAAGGAGACATAGGAGTTGGGAACAATTGGACTGCCTCTATTGTTTTTATTTCCTTTCAACTTTATCGTGGACTATAGTATTTTTGTTTTGTTTTGTTTTTATTTAACCTCATCATCCATTTTGCTGTTTTGACTAATTTAGAAAGTTTTGAATAATTTTTACTTACATAGTATATGCTTTCATTAAGTTGTACTTTTATCTTTGCTCATATTTGAACATGCAGATTTTAAAGTATTTAAGTATGATCCAAAATTTATACTTTTGCCAAACTATTATTATGGGTGTTCTGATTTTAATTGCTAAAAACAAGGGAATATTTTAAAAGGAATTCTTTTATCTGGACCAGGTAAATGGTCGGGAGCCTAGCTGGAAATCTTAGAAGATGCTCTGTGTATAGCACAGTGGTTACTGGAGGGCTTAGAGCTGAGTCCCAGAAACCTGAAATTACTACTTAGCTTTTTGAACAGTGCAGATCACTTAACCTTTATGGGCTTTGGCTTTTCTTCTCTTTAAATACACATTTTAGGAAATAGATATAAATATATGTATAGAGTAAAGACATCTAAATTTTATTTCATTTTCTGAATTTAAAATTTATAGTATGTATAATGGAAACTGGAATTTAGTAGGATATGGACTGGTGTTTGGGTTTGGGAGGGATTCCAGCAGTTATCCTGCTGTGCAGGACTCTTAAGGGAAGTTGCTGTGGCTCTTGGAGTGTCACAAGGGTAGTCGTGGCAGAGGCAAAAGTGTGGTTCTGATAGCACCTTGGCTGATGGCTGTAGTAAGTGTAGTAGCAGAGACACATGTAGGCCCTACTGGGTTACAGTTTTGTTTTATCCAGGTAGAGCAACTGAGTATGCTTTGGAAGTTTATTTTATCTCTATAACTTGATAGTTTCCCCCTCTATTTAATTGCAGTAGGGTTGTGTTAATATGCAAATATTTTTGTCAGCAGTGATTCTGGCAGAGTATTCAAATCCCAGCCTTGGAATTGAGAGATACCTCCTCTCCTCTAAAGGAAGAGGAGAGCCAGTTATACATGGATTCTATCCTGACCTCAGTACTTACTGGGGGCCACAGGCAAATTTCTGCATCTCTCTACACCACTCTTATCTATGCTAGGAAGCAATAAACCTACTTCAGAATTCAGTGAGGATACTATATAATAAAATCCCAGTGACCGGAACGGCGGAACAACCAGAATGACCAGAGACCAGAATGACCACAGCCCCTCCCCCCAGCGAGAGGTTAGGGGTGATCAGGAAGGCAGGCGAGTAGTTAGGGGTGATCAGGCAGGTAGGCGAGCAGTTAGGGGCGATGAGGCAGGCAGGTGGAGGTGGTTAGGGGTGATGAGGCAGGCAGGCAGAGGTGGCTAGGGGCGATGTGGTAGGCAGTCGAGTGGTTAGGGGCGATCATGCAGGCAGGTGAATGGTTAGGGGTGATCAGTCAGGCAGGTGAGTGGTTAGGGGTGATGAGGCAGGCAGGCAGAGGCGGTTAGGGGCGATGAGGCAGGCAGGCAAGTGGTTAGGGGTGATCAGGTAGGCAGGCAGAGCCATGGAGTTCATAGCCATGGAGTTCTGCCCAGGAGCTTCTTGCTGCTGTTGTGGCCAGTAGCCTGGCTGCCTACTTCCATTCTCCGTTGTTGACTGGAGTCCCTGAACCCCCACATGATGAAGCTGTCAAGAGTTGGGCTGGCCCTGGTTTGTGTGACTAAGTTGGTTGGACTATCGTCCCTTACACTGAAAGGTTTTGGGTTTGATTCCGGTCAGGGCATATACTTAGGTTGTGGGTTTGATTCCTGGTTTGGGGGCCTACGGAAAGCGCCAATCTATGTTCGTTCTCACATCAATGTTTCTCTCTGTCTGTCTCTCTCTTTCTCCTCTCTCTAAAATTAGTAAGCATATCCTCGGGTGAGGATTAAAAAAAAAAAAAAAGATGTGCTGGTTGGAGCTTTATCCAATACACCAAAGGGTTACAGATTCAATCCCCGGTCAGGGCACATATGGGATTGATGTTTCTCTCTCATGTGGATGTTTCTCTCTCCCTTACTCTCTCTCTAAAATCAATAAAAACATACCATTGGGTGAGGATTAAAACAAAAGAAGAGTTGGGATAATTCTGGATGGCAAAGAGGGAGCTCTACAACACTACAGTGGGGCCTTGACTTACGAGTGTCCCGAATAACGAGTTTTTTGAGATACCAGCTGTCTCTCAGCCGATTTTTTGCATTGAGTTGATAGAGTAATTTGAGTTAACGAGCTCCTTAACGAGCTCCTTAATGAGCTTGGTCTCGGAACGAATTAAACTCGTAAGTCAAGGCCCCACTGTACTCTGAGTAAGCCATTCTATGTAGAAAAATATTAAGGTTATTCATAACACATGTTATGGATGTCAGGAACTAAATTTGTGTTCAGCTGAGTGCTCTTCTTATTGAGAAATGGTTTACAAATTTCAAATAGTTGCTTTGCAAGAGTATTTTTGGCAGGATTTGTCAAAGCATACACGCCTTTGATCAGTTAGTACCACCATTTCAAAAACCCGCCAAACAGGTTGAAGCATGACTATTGTGGGGTGGGGAAGGGCTGCTTTTTTTATTGCAGTCTGCAACAAGTGGCTCCTTTCTCTTTTTAAAAAAATATATTTTTATTGATTTCAGAGAGGAAGGGAGATGGAGAGAGTGATAGAAACATCAGTGATGAGAGAGAATCATTGGTTGGCTGCCTCCTGCATGCCCCCTAGTGGGGATAGAGCCCGCAACCTGGGCATGTGCCCTGACCAGGAATGGAACCGTGACCTCCTGGTTCATAGGTCAGTGCTCAGCCACTGAGTCACGCCAGCTGGGTGCCCTTCCTTTTTCTTTAGGAAAAATGCAGAAGAAGAATTTTCCTAAATTCTCTGCTATTAAGGACGGTGTATTTTATCCAGGTTCAGCACCATCAGGTATAAGTTGCTGCTTGCTTTCCTTTTGTATTATGCTTCCCAGTGTAGATGCTTCACAGGCCTTACCATGCATTGGAGAGAGGGCCTTTCATGGCAGCGCCATGGCTTTTTTTAAATTTTCAATTACAGTTGACATTCAATATTACATTATTTTGAGGTGTACACCCAGTGATTAGACATTACATAACTTACTAAGTGATCATCCCAATAAATTTTGCCCCCATCTGATACCCTATATAGTCATTAGAATATTGACTATATTCCCTGTCTATACTTTATATTCTCATGACTATTCTGTAACAACCAATTTGTACTCTGAATCCCTTTACTTTTTTCACCGATACCTCTTAGCCCCCTCCTGTTACTGGAAAGGGGACCTAGCCCTGACAGGTCTGCTTAGGGCCAGCTGATAGTGTGTGGGTTCGTGACTTTGTGTAGGAAAAATTTTACAACACGAGTCCAGTGAAACAAGGGGACAGTGAAACAAGGAAGGGCTTAGCATAGAAGAAGCAACAGGAGATACCTGGGCTGGGCTGCTTTAGCTCACTGGGACGTAAGAAAAGGGGCCTTGGAGACAGGTTCAGGAGGTTAGCCTGGGATGAGCTGCCACTGCTCAATGCTCCCTTATTTTACAAGTCTCATGGGGTCTTAGAGTTTAGGAGATGCATGCCTGTGGGGGAAGAAGAGGGAAAAGGGAATGGTTTTGATGTGCTGCCTAGAGGGAGAGCGTGCCTTGGGACCTTCCTTTTGAGGGTTTTTAAAAGCTGGGAGTTTCGGGGTAGTCTTAGGGCAGGATCTCAATAGAACATTCATCAGTTTTATACTGCTGTGCCAAAATGAGATTTATTCCCTTAACTGAGGGGTAGAAACCTTTTTACTGCCAAAGCCATTTGGATATTTATAACATCATTCGCTTAATATAGTTCACTTAATATAAATTTATGTTGCTATGAAAAAAGCTCCTAGATTTATTGAATTTTGAATCCTGCCTGCAGTTGCCTTGGCAGGGCCAGACCAAATGATTTCATGGGCCTTATACTGCCTGAGGGCCAGATAGCCCCCCCCCCCCCCCCCCCCCCCCCCCCCGCCTTAACTTCATCTGTTCTTGGGTGTGATTGGCAAATGGCACTAATTGGATTTCTGGTATCTCCTTGAGTAGGGTGATTTAAGCTATCTACCTTCTGGTTGGGGAGAAGTGGAAACTACTTACTCTTACATATCCTTGGTTATAGAAGATAGGATTTTATGATTTACTGGATGGCTGTAAACTGCTTGGCCATTTAACTATCTGTCTCAGTTTCCCTATTCTATTTGTCCTGGTTTACTAGCCTCTCTCACTCCCGTCTGGCAACTGTCAAAACATTCTCTGTATCTGAGTTTGTTTCTGTTCTTATTCATTTATTTTGACTTTTAGATTCAATTGTTGATAAATAT